GAGGGGGGCGGGCCCGGCGGCGGCGGCGGCAGCAGCAGCGGAGGCGCCCGCCCGCCCTCTCTTTTCCCCCTCCTTCCTTCCCAAAATCCCCCCCCTTCTCCTCCTCCTCCTCCGATGCCCGATCGGCAGCCCAGACGGAGAGAAAGGGCGGCGGCGGCAGCAGCGGCTGCCGCCACTCGGCGCGGGCGGGGCTGCCGCTTCCGCCTTCCCGCTCGGCTCTTCCTCGCCCGCCCGCGTCGGGCCAAGGAAATGATGGAGGGAGGGGGGAGTGCGGGAAACGCGGCGGGCGGCGACGACAAACGAAAAGGTGCGCGCGCTTCAAGGGGAGCCGCCGCCGCCGCTGCTGCTGTGGCTGTTGCTGCCGCCGCCGCCGCCGCCGCCGGGTGGGTCCCCTCAGGGCGGGCGGAGGCAGGCAGCCGCTCCTCCTTCTCTAGGCGGAGGAGGAAGGAGGCGGCGGCGGCGTCGTCCTCTTCCTCGCCGCCCGGCTAGGGATCGAGCGCGGCCGCCGCCGCCGCCGCCGCTCCTTCTCCCTGGTGGGCTCCCCTCAGCGCCGCCTCGCACTCCTCATAGGCATCCACAGAAGGCTGGCAGGGCTCGGGGGCTCTGACAGCAATGGCGGCCGCCAGGAGCAGCGCGCTTCGCCATTGGCCCGGCGTGGGTCACGTGGGGCGCGGCCGTCCCGGCTGGACGCAAGAGGAGGAGGGAGGGAGGCGGGGGGGGGGCAAAGGAAAGAAGGAAGGATAGGCGGGGGGGGCAACGCCGCTTGGCGCAGGCGCCGTGGGCTGAGTAGCCGAAGGGGGCGCTGTGGAGCCAAGAGGCGGGCGGGCGGGCGGAGCAAGCGAGGCAAAGTTACCTCGCAGTAACGGAATGCGCGGCTTTTCGAAGCCACGCCCCCCTGCTGGCTGATTGACAGCTGCGGGGCTGAGGGGGGCTTTCTCCTCAGCTTAATGTTATTTAATAGTGTCTTTAAAGTTTTGTTTTTGAATTTTCTCTCCTATTTTTTTTCCTGTCTCTTCTGAATATATTTCCCCCTCCTAGTTTAGCTTTTGTCAGTTTTTCTTGCCTTTATTGCAAACCTCCCTAAAATGATTAGTAAAAGGTCAGATTTCATATTTAAACACACATATATAATATGTAATATATGTAATATATTATATTACACAAAAAAAACACAAACATACATACATATATATATATACATACATACATATATACATATACATACACATACACACATATCATATATACATATACACATACACTGTATATATAAAATGTATATATATGTATGTGTGTGTATGTTTGTATGTATATATATATCTGTGTGTGGGTGCGTGTTTGTGTATAACAAAGGAGGGCATTATTTCTTATAAACCTTAGATTAATAAAAACCATATTTGTACTTTATTTTACAATTTAATAAAAATGTTTAAAGTGGAATTTTTAAAAAGCCATCCTGATTACTTTTTTTGGCACTGTTTTGGGTTTATATGTATCGGTGTATCTTAAATGTTATTTTTAAAATTACAATGGAAGTGTTGCTTCCAGGATAAAAGTATATTATATGTGAGAGAAATTCAAGCCAGCCAAAGGATAAATCTGTAATCGGCAAGTACATTTGTCTGAAAATAATCTGTATTTTTCATTTGCTATTAAACAATGGAAAGAATAGAACAGAAAATAGAATAGAACAGAATGGAGTAGAACAGAGCAAAATAAGGAATAGAAATAGAATAAAAATAGAATAGAATGGAGTAGAATAGAATAGAGCAAAATAAGGAATAGAATAGAATAAAAATAGAATAGAATGGAATAGAATAGAATAGAGCAAAATAAGGAATAGAATAAAAATAGAATAGAATGGAGTAGAATAGGGCAAAATAAGGAATCGAATAGAAATAGAATAGAACAAAATAGAATATAGAACAGAAAACAATAGAATATAAAATAGAATAGAATAGAATAACAAGAGTTGGAAGGGACCTTGGAGGTCTTCTAGTCAACCTCCTGCTTAGGCAGGAAACCCTACGGCCACCACTTCATACAAATGAAATGTGGAGACCCAAGATCCTGATTTGAACAAGGGGCATCCAAGCTTTATATAACGTAGGGTTTCATCAAGCCTAAATTTGGCACTGGGTCATCCTTTTTTGAGTTGGCACAAGCCTCCGCAGCTGAAAGTCACCCAACAATTTTGCATCAAATGCCGACGTGCTTTCAAACAATTTTGACTAAGGTTTTGGCTGATAACTAAAGCAGGCCCGGGGTATTACATTTTTTGGTAAGCGTAATTTTTTTTCTTTTTTCTTTAACAAAGCCATCATTGATCTTTTTTTTTTTTTAAGGAAAATCTGGGAAAAGTGCAAATACAAAAGACGATGGGGAAAGAATCCACCGTATCACCTATACTTATCAATACTCACTTGATTTCCAATGAATTCATGGTTATAATAGGAACAATTGTTCAGCGTGTGCATTAGTACCACCTCTGTAATTGAGTAGATTAAGGAGCTCCTATAAACGGCAGCCCCTGGGGATCTGGCCTTAATAGGAGGACTAATATACTTTGGGTTGTCAATATTTGTTTTTCAGTTGGCTGGCTGGGGAATTCTGGGAGTTGGAGTCCACAGGTCTTAACATTGCCAAATTGGACATCCCTGAATTAAACCATCCTCCTGAGTGCCCTGAGGTTATGGAAATCAGGTATGTGGATTTGATTGATTCAAGAAAAGACACCTAATTGCAGACAAAATCTTTCTTTCTTTCCTTCCTTCCTTCATTCTTTTAAGTCTTTCCTTCCTTTGTTGTTTCATTTTCTTTCTTTCATACTTTCCTTCCTTTTTTCTTTTATTCTTTCATATTCTTTCCTTCATTCTTTCATTTGTCTCTTTCCTTTATTTCATTTTTTCCTTCATACTTTCTTCTTTCCTTCATACTTTCATTTCCTTCTTTCTTTCCTTCATTTTTCATTTCTTTCCTTCATTCTTTCTTTCATTTCCTTCTTTCTTTCCTTCATTCTTTCATTTCCTTCTTTCCTTCCTTCATTTTTTCATTTCTTCATTCTTTCATTTCCTTTCTTTCTTCCTTCTTTCTTTCATTTCCTTCTTTCCTTCCTTCTTTCATTTCTTTCCTTTGTTCTTTCATTTCTTTCTTTCCTTCATTGTTTCATTCCTTTCCTTCATTCTTTCATTTCTTTCTTTCCTTCATTCTTTCATTTCTTTCTTTCTTTCAAAAAGTGCAGGATGTTACTGACAGCACATCAGAACTGACAGCCATATGGGCAAATGTTGGAGAGCTCTCTGTTTTTTTTTTGCAATAAAAGCATAATAAATATGTGTGTTTGATTCAGGCCTCGGAACAGTGGGATTAACAATATGGGGTTTCTGCCTTCTCCAAAAGAACAGTCCTATCTTTCTGCAGTTGTTGCCCTCCACATTCACAGGATGACACAATTTTGAGGACATCATTGGCAGTTGTAGCCCTCCATGACTAAAGAGCACCCCAAAAAAAATTGGGGGGGGGGAGGGACACAACAGGCAGCTAATCCAAAATCCAGGGCTTGTAAGCATCTTCAAAATGTGGATGACTTGCCTCTGCGTTTACATGCTAAACCACAACTAATTTCATCTTGGCTTGTTCGTGTAATCCAATTGCTCAAGTTCACACAATATGCTGGACCTTCAATCAGCAAGCCATCTTTCAGCCTAATGTATTGTGAACAGCCAGCCGAAGGACATAGAGGAGCCTATCCTGTTTGCATAATGGGCTAATTCTCCTGTACCATCACCGAGTTAACTTAATTCAAATTAAACACAATTCACCCAGGTGCTGCCTTGCAGACAAAGCCATAAATCCTAACCGTGTCAAATTCTGATATCATAAAGCCATAATAGGGCTGGAAGGGATCTCAGAGGTCTTCCAGTCCAGCCTCCTACTTAAACAGGAGATCCTATGCCAGAGAAGTGGCTGTGTAGTCTATTCTTGAAAAACTCCAGTGTTGGCAGGGCACTTACAACTTCTGAAGACAAGCCACTGATTAATTGTTCTCACTGTCAGGACATTTCTNGGCGATATGCTGACTCTGTAAACCGCTTAGAGAGGGCTGAAAGCCCTATGAAGCGGTATATAAGTCTAACTGCTATTGCTATTGCTATTTCAACCAGGGGTGAAATCCAGCAGGTTCTGGAAAACCAGTAGCGGGCATTTTGAGTAGTTCGGAGAACCGGCAAATGCCACCTCTGGCTGGCCCCAGAATGAGGTGGGAATGGAGATTTTGCAGTATCCTTCCCCTGCCACGCCCACCAAGCCACACCCATGGAATCCGGTAGTGAAATTTTTGAAGTTCATCACTGATTTCAACCCTGAAAGGTTTTCCCAAGGCAGTTTGGCTTAGGTACCGAGTAGGAAAAAGTTTAATTGTCTAGTTTAATGCAAAGAAGGGCTAGCAGTGTTCCAATATCTAAGGTGGTGGCACAGAGAAGAGAGGGTCAACCTGTTCTCCAAAGCCCCTGAGGACAGGACAAGAAGCAACGGGTGGAAGCTAATCAAGGAGGGAGGCAACCTAGAACTAAGGAGACTATCAAGCCTGAAGTCATATTCCTTTCTGGATCTTTGGCCTGCCACACTCTCTATTATTCTGCTATGCATTTTCTATTGTGGGGAAACGAGAGAGGGGATTTTATGGAGTTAGATGCTATGCAGCCATAACAATATTCTTTCTAGAAAGACAAGGTCATCCTTTGTCTCTGCACCTGACTGGAACTGGATGGGTGGAACTGCCAGCAGGGCAGTAAGAGATAGGAACATGGGATGGGTTTGTGGGTGTGGGGGGCAAGATCATGAACTTTCAGCTGGGTGGGGAAAACCGGGAAGCCTTCAGATTCGGGTTTTCCCAAATGTGCCAACATGTCTCTCTTCATAAATTGGAACTTTGAGGAATCCTTTGCCTTGGAATCTGATTTAAATTTTGGATGTTATTTGGAACGCTAACAGAGGCATTT